GGCCCACTCCTTTCAGGATCAGGAAAGCGTGCATGTTCGATACACGCCTTTTTCGTATTGACAACGTCCACTCAGGCCCAAGGAGCCCCCAAGATCGTCCCAAGACGGCCCATGGGGCCCCCAAGAGTGCCCCAAGACGGCCCAACTGAGCCCAAAGATGGCCCCGAAGAGGCGTCGAGACGGCCAAAGGGGGCCCTAAGACAGCCCAGGCGGGCCCCAAAGAGGGGCCCAAGATGGGCAATACGAACTGACATTTCCAGTCTTTCCGGCCGCGATGGACCCCAAGAGCCCCCCAGTGACCCCCGAGGCGCCCCCAAGAGGCCCCGAGAGGCTTGCAAGAGGCACCCAAGAGGCCCCCAAGAGGCCCCAAAAAGCAAACCAGAAGCCCCCAAGAGCCCTCCAACATTCCCTCGAGAGGCATTCCAGGAGACCCCTTTTATACGCATCTCCGAGGCGCCTGACCCACAGGCCAGACACGGTACCACGACTTTTGACGAATGCACTTATGGGGGTCAGCGGAATGGCATTAGCCTCTTGAATAGCTGATGTTAGTCAGGCTGTGGGCAAACTGTGGCTGCCTGGGGGAGGGGGGCAAATTGCCCACCCCCCCCTTCTTTGACCGAACTCCTCCAAGACGGCCACAAGATGGCCCCCCCAAGAAAGAGGCCTCCGATAGGCATCCTAAGACACCCGATGGGCATCCAAGAGACCTCTGGCCCACAACCCAGGCACGGTGGCGGGAAAGGTCTGCACTCTTCTCCTGCTCACTGCTCACGTTCCTCCTCCTCCTCCTCCTCCTCCTCCTCCTCCTCCTCCTCCTCATCCTCCTCCGCAGGACGCATGGGCGATAGGCCCCATGATGCCCCCCAAGACGCATCCTTTTCCTCCGCGTCATGGCGTCATGCTTCCCCTCTGCTCATCCTCTCCCTCTTCCTCCGCCGAGTGCCTCCCGCAGGACTTCCCCAGCGCTAACAGAACGGCTGCGCCTCGCTAGCGCTTCACGCAACAATTCCAGCACACTACCACCGCCCGACGATTTCCAAATCGCTACGGCCACGAAAAACATGACTGGCATGCCACTATTGGGGCCGGCGGAATGGGCGAAGCAATTCAGCCCCCACCAATCCTCGGGGCCAGAGTGGTCCAGGGAACTAGGGAGCTCGTTCTGCTTACCCCATTCTTCTCAATCGGGAAGGTCGCTCCCCCTCCCCATACCCCCTACCAATGGGTCTGTTGGGGGCGTTCTGCGAGGGGGTGGAGCGTCGAAGATGGCCCCAAGTGGCTCTCAGAGGGTCTCATAGTAGCCCAAGCTGGCCTCCAAGATCGCTCAAGATAACTCAGAATGGTTCAAGAGAGCCTCCGACAGACCTCCAAGGGCACTGGAGCCGCCCCAGGACGGCTCCAAGTGTTGTCCGAGCCTGCCAAGAAGGCCCCCAGGAAACCAAGATCCGCCGGCCCAACGGACCAGACGCGTGCTAAGATCTCCGGTAGCAGGTAAGCAGTATGTGTACAAGTATATACATATATTCCGGTGGCGCCAGGCTGCGAAGGTGTGTGCGGTCTGCTGTCATGTGCTCTGTGTTGTCATGTGTTCATCCGGTGGCACAGCGTTGCTCATCGCCTTCTTGGTGCTCCTCTCCCTCCTGGACGTCGACCTGGTCAAGTGGCACGTCCTCCTCTGCAGTGCTCGAGGCTGGTGTTCACGACGTGCCGTTGACGGCAACACCACATCGCTCACCCTCCGGATCTTCGCCTCCGGTCCCTGTCCGCGGCGCACCTTTTCCTGTGCAAACTCTTCGGCACCGCCTGCACCCCGGGCCCCGCCCACTGCGGCCGCCTGAGGCCCCGCCTGCCTGTGCCCTCTCTGATTAAAGCTGTACGTAGCCCGCCTAGCTTTCAGCGGAAGAGGTTCGCTCTCGCCCCGCCGACCAAAAAAGTGGCGTCATTTGTTGTTTGGCCTTTGTCTCTCCAGTCCTGTTTCCTGCCTCCTGTTTACTGTCTGCTAGGGGGCCCCGCCGCGCCACCAAACAGCCAACGGGGGGGGGTGACCGTCAAATCCTGGCTGCTCGGGGCCATCACAAGATTCTCATGGTGACGCCACCGCGCGGCCAGAACGGCCCGAGAGGCCTCCAAGATTGCCCGAAAAGGCTCCGAAGTGAGCCTCAGGAGGCCAAGACTGGCCAAGATGGCCCCAAAATGTCCAACGATGGCCCCAAGACAGCCCAAGATGCTCTCAAGACGGCCCAAGAGGCCACCAGGAGGCTTCACAAAAGGGCCGCACGAAGCAAACATCAACGATTTGCCCAGCGTTTTCGAAGGTCTTTGGCCTTCTCGCCTTTTCGGCTTTCCGACGCTCCGAGACGGACCAAGAGGTTCCCAAGATCGCCCCACGACGGCCCTAGAAACCCCCATGACGGCCCAAGAGGCCCCCAAGGCGGCCCCGAGACGGCCGAAGAGGGCCCCAAGACGGTCCAAGAGGCGCCCCAGACGGCCCAAAGGGCCCTAAGAGATTCCAGAGAGAGGCCCAAGAGGGAGTCCACGGACCGAAAACTTTACCTTTCCGCCCCGAGAGGGCCCTACGAGTCCCAAAAAGCCCCAAGAAGAGCCAAGAGACCTCCAAGAGGCCATCGAGGTGGTCCAAGAAAGCCCCGAGACGCCACGAGATCGCTCCGAGACGCCCAAGATAAGCTGCAAACGGCCCAGGGGGCCTTTAAGACGCCCCATAAGGCCTCCCAGAGGCTCAGAGGCATTCCAAAAGAGTCCCCAGAGGCAAAGTTCATTGGTTTTCATTTGGTTGTTGAAGGATTTTCGCGTTTTCGCCTTTTCAGCTTCCCGACGCTCCAACGCAGCCCAAGAGGCCCCCAAGACCGCTCCAAGACGACCCAAGGATCTCCAAGAGGGCCCCAAAACAGCCCCAAAACAACCCAAGAGAGCCCCAAGACTGCCCAAGAGGCCTCGAAGACGGCCCAAGAGGCCTCACGACGGCTCCAAGAGAGGGCCCAGACGGGGGACCCGAGCGGCCACTTCGAGCTCTTCGCCCGAAGAGGCCCCCCAGAAGCCCCAAGAGGCCCCATTAAAAGGGCCCAAGAGGCCCCCAAGAGGTTTCAAAAATACCGCCAAGGGGCCCCCGAGAGGCCTCCCACCCGAGAGCAGGAGGACATTCCCCACACCAGCCCAAGCTAAACACCTACATGCCTCATGCACCGCATAGGCCCGCAACAAACCACCCCAGAGGCAGCTCAACAGCAACTGCTTCAGCTCGAACGCTCCCCACGCATCGCGCCAGAGAACAACAGCCGCTCAACAGCACCACATTGACAACGGAAACGCGGGGAAGCGAGAGCCGTCAAACAATATGGGCCCGCGTACTGAGCGGGATCGTGGTGTTCAATGCTTTTGGCCTTCTCGTTGTTGTTCGCTTTCGATGGGATCTTGACCAAAACAGCCCCAAGAGGAGCCCAATAGGGGCTCAATAAGGCCCCAAGAGCGTCCAAGAGCGCCCTAAGAGGGCCACAGAAGGCCAATGTTCGGACCAGACGGGGAGGCAAACATATACGAACCCCTCTTTTAACCGATGGCCTCCAAGTTTGCCCGAAGAGCGCCCCCCCCCAAGAGAGCCCCAAGAGAGCCCCGAAGACCTCCAGAATGGCACAAGATTGCCCAAGTAAGCTGTCATCAGGTAACCATATCAAAAGATCTGCGAAGGCTTCATGTTGGACTCCTGGGCCCTCTCTCACAGATCCTGAATTGTTTGACGGCTGCCCCCCTCTTTGTTCCACTGCTTGCTCCGACGCTTCCCTGATCAATGCGACTAGCCTGGGCAGCGTTGCTGGATAGGCTGGCACTGTTTGGGGTCCACGTAGGCATCATCGCCTCAAACTCCGCAACCCGCTTGCGAAAAGCCTCCAGCCCAATGACGACACGTCTGCCGTAGTTGTCAGCATCGGAAAACCTGATCCGCTCTGTTCGCCCACATCCTCTCACTGCGCGAGGGCCCCCGAGAAGCTCGACTCGGGCATGGGGCGGGGCAGATGCGAGCAGTCTCGATCGCCCCACACTCTCTGGCTGCAGGCTGGGCCCCCTCACTCTCATCTGCGGCTGCCATGTTTCAGGCATCAGGCGACCATGACCAAGACGGAATGCGGAAACGTCGGTGACGATCTTGGTCACCGTCAATCTCGGCTTAGGTCGGGCATGTCCTCCTACAGGCGGATTTTGGACGAAAAATTAAAAATAGTGGAAAAATACGCCCTGAAAATTCAAAAAATGGTCGGAAAATCGTCTTCGACTATTTCTTGAGATTCCTCCTGTAGAGGGACAGGCCCGCCTTCAGTGTCGATCTTGGTCACCGTCCATCTCAATCACCGCCAGTTCGTGAGTCATCCCTCGGGCACGACCGAGATCGGCGTCGACGAGATCCCACGACATCCTGGTCATGATCACAATGTCCCTTCCCTCCATACCTCTTCTTCGTGTGCTGCTAGGCGAACAAAGAATGACGTAAACATAAAACTCGGTGGACCGCGCGGATTTCTCGGATCGGCGCTGGACCCCCCTGGCGGCGCCTCCGGCGCAGCCCCTGGCGCGCTCCGCGCGCCAGGGAGGGGGTCCAGCGCCGATCCGAGAAATCCGCGCGGACCTCCGAGTTTTTCTGTTTATGTCATTCTTCGTTTCCCTAATCACACTGTCCCTTCCATCGATACCTCTTTTTTCACTGCTAGAGTGCCCCTGGCCCAAGGTGCCCCCAGCGTTCCGCCCCATCTTGGAGCCCCTGGGACCCTCTGGGCCTCGTGAGGGGTGCCCTGGAGACCACATGGGCCACCCCGAGAGAATCCTGGGGGTACCTTGGGCCAGGTTCGGTGGCAACTCATGGGAGCCTCCCATACCATCTTGTCGGCTCGTGCGAATCGGCGCTAATCGACGCTAAATCGACGCTAATCGACGCTAAATTGACGCTAATCGATGCTAACCGACGCTAAATCGGCGCTATCCCATCGATTCCCCGACGCTAATCGACGCGAATCGACGCTGAAGGCGCATTTAAGAGGGTATACCAGGCTCACATGACAGGCCACCGAAGGCCAGGGGTGCTTCTGGCAGCACCCGACTCTTTGACTTGCCCCAACAGCGCAAGCGAGCCCCACAGGGGGGGCGGGGCGCCGCCCACCAGCCAGCGCCGCGGTCACAGGAGCCTCAGGGGGCTCTGGCGCAGCACCCTCGCCTCGGGGAGCCGGAAGACGAAGACATCCAGCAGCCCGGAGCCGACGCGCAGCGCCTTCAGCCACCTGCCCCCTGCAGCCTCCTCCTTCGGCGGCGAGCGAGGGGGGGAAGCGGGAAGGAGGAGGCCTTCTCAGAAGGTTCGGAAGTCCCCCGGCCTGCTGAGGAGTCTTCTGAGCCTTCCCCGAGGACAGAAAAAACTTCTCTCAGAAGGCGCGAGGGCGTCTGAGAAGTCCTGCCGCCTCCTGAGAAGGCCTTCTCCTTCTCATCTCCCCCCCTCGCTCGCCACCGACTCCTGCCCCGCCGACGCCCCGCCCGCGCCCAGCGAGGCGGCGGCCACCGCGGCGAGCACGTCGCCCGAGTGCCTTGGCTGCCAGGGCGCCCTCGTGCACAGCGTGACGTGCGGCCGCGCAGCTTCGCCCAGCGGCACGCCCGAGGCCCGGAGCCGATCTGCGTCGACGACCGCGCAGGCGAGGGCCCCCCGCGCGCACACGAGGTGCGTCACGGCGCAGTCGAAGGCGGCGGCCTCCCGGAGCAGCCTGCGCGAGGCGGACAGCAGCCGCCGCTCAGCCTCGGAGGGCACCACCCCGCCGAGGTACAGGGTGGTCACGTGCAGGAAGGCCGGCCGCCTGTAGAGCTGCGGCGGGAAGGGCTCGTCCAGCCTCCCGGCGCCCGCCGAGGCCGCCATGGCGGCGGAGGCCCTCCGCAACAGGGACTGCAGCTCCTCCCGCTGGGCATGAACGGACAGGGCAACGTACCGAACAGGAAGGGGCGCCTCGGCCGAGGCCCCCTTCTCCTGCGGCGCCGCCAGCAGCGCACGCGCAGCGTCCTCCGCGCAGCGCTGCGCGTGCACCCTCCTGTCCAGCTCCGGCGGACAGCGCAGGCCAGAGGACGACAGACACTTCCTCAAGGCAGCCAGCGCGGGGCCCGGCGGGCCAGGGTCCCCGAAGGGGCGCAGGACGCGAAGGGCCTCGCGCGCGAGCGCGCGCACCTCCAGCCGCCGCCACGGGGCCTCTGGTGACCCGCCGGACGCGTCGGCCCAGGAAGCGAGCTGTCCGGCCGCGGACAGGAAGGGGACGCCGACGAAGTCCACACCAGGCGTCTCGCCCGCCACCTGGCGCCCTTTGTGGAGCTGCAGGAAGCTCAGCAGGACGAACAGGGCGGTCTCGCCGCCCTCCAGGGTGTCGTGCCCTGACCTCAGCATCAGCCGGGCCGCGCACTCGACCACTTCATCCAAGCCCCATGGGTACTGCCAGGGGCCGAACTCCCGCTCCTCCTCGAGAACAAGTGGGTCCTCCGCGGACGGGACGCAGCGCGGTTCGGCCCCCAGCAGGAGCCCCCGCAGCCGCAGCGCCAGGCCTGGGGGAGCCAGGCCAGACAGCACCTCCACCTCACGGCGCAGGGCTGCTGGCGGGTAGTTCTTGTCGAGCAGCAGCAGGTAAACGGGTGGCACGCTGGGTCTCTCGCCCGCCTCGGCAAGAGCGGTGCTGTCGTCCTTGGCGAAGCGCAAGAACTCCTCGATGCTGGCTCGGTACCGCTCCGCGCCCCGGCGGCGGCAGGAGTTCAGCTCCTCGGGCGTGCAGCTCTCGGGGGAGACCCCGCAGGCTCTCATCTCCGCCGCCGTGAACCCGTCGCTGGAGAGCAGGGAGACGGCCGCAAGCCGAGGAATCTGCACCGTGGCAGCGGGCGCGTCCCTGAGGCCCGCCGTCGCCCTGAGGCCCTGCTGGAACAGCACCCGCGCGGAGCTCCCGCACAGCCGGTGCAGCCGCGACATTAGCGAGCTCTTGCCCATGCCGGGCAGGCCGACGGGCAGCGCGGCGACCACGACGGCACGAGGCCCCTCGGTCGCCACGGCCTGCAGCGCCCGGTAGCTCTCGGCTATCGTCGACAGGGCGCGGCGATCATCGAGCGCGGGCGCTTGAGGGAGCCACAGCGCCGAGGGGCGCGGCAGCGCCGCCAGAAGGCGCCCAGAGTGAGCCCGCCATTTCGCGAGCAGCGCTCGCCGGGCCGGCGAGCGCTGCCGCCGAAAGCGCGCGCCCTCGCCCACGAGGCCGCCGCCATGGGAGCCAGCGCCGCCCGCCGCCGGCCCCGAGGCGAGCTCCAGGCTGCGCCCGCAGCCCTGCTCCGACCAGCCCCACAGCACGAAGAGGCACCTGTCCCTCAGCTGCTCCGCCGCCCGGCACGCGCTGAGCGCCTGCCTCTCCCCCGCGGCCACCTTGCGCCGCTTGCCTGCGGGCGCCCCTGGCGGGTCATCCGTCGGCCCCAGGCTGCAGCACTGCTCGACCGCGGAGGGCACCGCGCCCAGGTAGATCGGCAGGTGCCCTGCCGCGGCGCGGTGCCACGCGGCAGACGCTCCGCCGGTTGCCGCCACGGTGTCGGGGCAGAGATCCTCGCCCCCGGGCTCGGCGTGTCCGCCGCGGAGCATCCCGCGCAGCCGCCCCAGCAGCTCCTGCCCCACCAGCAGCGGCGGCGACAGGATGCAAAGCGCAGGGGCAACCGGCCTGGGCTCCTCCACGCCCTCGTGTTGATCGGCACTCGCCAGCGTGTCCAGGAACGTCTCGTCTACCACGTCTGGAGGCAAGTCCTCGGCGAAGATGTAGCGGCACAGGCGCCCCAGCCTCAGTCGGTGCGCCTCCGCCTGCTGCTCGTCCAGGGCCCAGCCACGCACCTCTGCGGCGTACTCGGAGACTACTCGGTCCACCGTGATGGAGCCGCCGCCCCGTGCGAAGCGCTTCGCCTTCTCACGAAGTTTCCGCAGAAGACGGTACTCGATCGTCTTCAGCTTGCCGATCCAGATGACCTCCGCCTCCGAGGCAGCTCGACCCGACCCGTCCGACGTCGACTCTCCCTCCGCGACGACGTAGACCACATAGCCCTCCCCGTCCTCCTTGACCGAGCCCGCGGCGGTTGCCCTGGCCATGCGACAGAGGGTCTCCAGGGCCTCACCAGGGCAGCTGGCCGAGGGCCCTGCCAGCTCCATCGACACCACTGGCAGCCCACTCTCCCCAAGGAAAGCCAGACTCCTGCTCGGAGGCCAGCAGGCCTCGTCGCCATGATGCGGGACAATAGCGAACCAGATGATCGTCCGCAGACCCGCGTAGTCCACCAAGTGCGCACTGCCGCCGACCAGTTCGCCCACCAGCGTCCGCGACGAGAGGGCCTCTCTGAGCGAGCTCCTCCTCTCCTCTGCGAGAGGGTCGAGCTGGTCGAACCACAGCTCTGCGACGGTGCGGGCGAAGCGGTACCGGTGCTCCGACCACTGTGGCGACGAGATGTCCGCCCGGACACCAGCCAGGAGCGCGACATTCTTGGAGCAGAGCACCCACTGCTGTGCCGGCGCGAAGAAGGACTCGGTGGCAACTCATGGGAGCCTCCCATGCCATCGTGCTGGCTCTTGCGAATCGATGCTACATCGGCGCTTACCAACGCTAACCGAAGCTAAGTCGACGCTGACCGACGCTGGACCGACGCTTTCTCATCGACTACCAGGCGGCAGCGCACGCTGGAAGACTCTGAAAAGAGAGAGCCTCGGGATGCACGAGGCCCCCGTGATTTGCTACCGAAGAAGGATACCTGGGCGTTCTCGCCGTTGGCCTTGCTAAGCTTCAGGACACGCGTGCCCCGCCCCGTGCGCGAGCTCTGCAGCAGCCGCTCCGCCAGCGCCGCCGCCGGGGCGCCGCGGCCGCGCAGCCCGCCGCTGGAGGCCGCGGCGCCGCCGCCAGGCTCTGGCGCGGGCGCTGGCCGCGGGGAGGCCCGCAGTGCCGCGCCCAGGGCGTCGGTGTCCAGGTCGAAGAACTTCGGCAGGCCACGGCGGACGAGCGTCGCACCGTCGCCGCTCCACGCGGCGCTGGCGCCCGCGGCTGCGCCCAGGGGCTCCACGAAGCTCAGCCCGCGGCGCAGGTGCCGAGCAAGGGCCGCGTCCTCCAGGAAGGCGGCCTCCTCCGAGCGGCCACGCAGGTAGCTCCTCGCGAGCACTGCGTCGTGCAGCACCAGGCCATTCGGGCACGAGGGCGCAGCGATGCTGGGAAGGCGCCGGCTGACCAGGTGCACTGCAGGGCTGGCCTGCACCCATCGCCAGAGCTCGGCGCTGGGTGCTGTGGCCGCAGCCTGCATAGAAAGCTATCGCCTCGGCAACCGCAGAAACGCTCCCCAAAGCTGCTGCACACCGCCTGCACATCAAGGAGGAGGCTGCCTCCAACGGTGTCAGCGATAGCCAGCAGGTGTCCGCCACCGCTCTCTGCCGCAGCAGGCGTGCGTCAGGGCCGCTGGTTCTTCCTGGTTTCACTCCGACGACTCCGACTCCGACTCCGACTCCGACGACGACGACGACGACGACGACGACGACGACGACGACGACGACGACGACGACGACGGCGCTCCGCAAGCCGCCCCCCTACAGCGCGGTGCCCGATGCGCGCGGCAGCGCAGCCTGATTATCCTGCACAGCTCGACGCGCTTGGGCCAGGCTGCGGGCGCGCGGGAGCGCACGCGCGCCGAGAGAACTCCCTCGCTGCACCCCCTGGGTGGGTGCAGTCGAGGCGTGTCCAAAAAGAACGCGAGCCACGAACGCGAGCCCGTTCGCCGAGGGCTCCGGGGCCACGTTGACGTGCCCAAGGCGAGGAGCGCTCCATGGTGGAGGGGCCGCGGCACGAAGAGCAGAAGGGCACACCTCCCAAAGGGAGGCTGGTCTTGACCCTCGTGCCAGCTCTAGGCTGTATGTAGAGGCCTCCTGGATGGGGTCCGAGCAGATGGGGTCGGAGGATCGCGCTGCATCGGCGATGCATCGGCGATGCACTGGCGATGCCCATCGGCGACGTCGGCGTGAACCAAATCGGGCTCCACATCGAGCCGCATCGGCGATGCATCGGCGATACGGCGTGATCCTCCGACCCAATCTACTCGGACCCCATCTAGGAGGCCTAGAGTAGGGCATCTGCGGCTTCTCGGCGGGTGATCCCCAAAAGCCGGGCTGCACCCCGCCACATGGGCCCACACACACACACACACACACACACACACACCTCTTGGCCCCTGGGGCTGTGCTCTGCCTCCCTGGCGGCCGCGAGGCCCCAGGGACCACCAAGCAGGAGCCCCGAGAGGGCGACAAGGGCTTTTCCCCCTTGCGACCCCACAAGAGCCCAAGAGAGAGCCCCGCAAGGCCCCAAGAGAGAGCCCCCCGAGATCCTACTGGACCCCCACTCGCCCTCCGCAGGTCTCCCGAGGACGCCCCCGAGTTCCCCCGAGGCCCCTGGAGGCCTCTCCCTGGAGCCCTCCAGGGGTCCGCGCGGACTCTCTTGGGCCGGCGAGGGGGAGAGGCGGCGGCAGCCAGCTCCTGGCGGGGGCTGAGCTCGCCCCTCGTGGCCCGAGCCGCGGCCCAACGGCTGGGGATCCTCACAAGACGCCCCCGAGGAGGCCCGACATGGCGCAGGTGGGTGCAGCCCTCGGCGGTCGCGCAGCCGCGGAACTGTTATGAGGGAACTCCTGGGAGGTCCTCGCGAGGACGAGGAGGGGTACTGGGCCAGACTGAAGGGCCACGAAGCCGGACTGGAAGGCCAGGATGCAGTCCGACTAAGCCGGATTGAGCGAAACTACGCGGACTCACCTGGAGCATGCCGGAGTAGGCCGGATGTCGACCAAGGATGCACCCGCGCCGATGCTGAACTTCACCTCCCAGGAGTTGCATCCTCAGGAATGAGTCATGGGCGCACGGCTTGCCCTGTACATACACCGCTTGAGCGGCAAAGGGAAAGGATCTCCAGGGTGAGAACACAGCGACACGCAGTGGCCTCGCGCAATGGCTCACGCGGCACGCCGTGTGGGAGGAACCGGTGTGTGTGCGCGCGACCTCGCGCGAGCTGCCTGCGCGCGAACGTCCACGCAGTCGGCCCCGTGTTCCTGCACCTCCCACGTTAGCGTTAGGTCGGGCATGTCCTCCTACAGGCGGATTGTGAGATCAGAATGACACATGAGATCACAACAAGTAAATGCACAGATACATCATTAGATATAACTAACTACGCGCATGCAGAACTCTATACGCATGACATAAGAATGTACCCATATACATTGGAAAGAAAGGAAGCATGTTACATATCAAAAGCCTATTCGATTACATGTGTTGCTTGGAAGAGTCCTCCTGTAGAGGGACATGCCCGATTCAACGCTAGCGACGAAAAGTAGCGGCCCGAAATGGGCACGGAAACAATGGGCACAATGCCCAACAGCAAATGTTGTCCCGAACCAACAGCGGCCGCTGTTTGGCAGGCGGCCTTCTGTCTCAAATGGACACAATCCGCGGCGACGCCGACAGCGAATCCTGCTCAAAATGAACAAGAACTGCTGTCGGTCTTTGTACCCATTCTTTCCGTACCCATGTCGGTCGTCCCGAGCTCACGTGGGCACGAGTGGGGATCAAACCAAGCAGGGCTTCGGGAAGCGCACAGGCAGCCCCCCAGGGCAGTCCCTGCTGGCCTCAACGGGTCTCCTGAGCAATCTGGGGCGATCTCAAGACCAAAACCCTTGGGCGAAGAGGCGACGCCAGAGGCGGTGCCAGAGTGTTGCAACCGCCCCAGACTACTCGGGAGACCTGTTGAGGCCCGCGGGGACTACATGGGGTGGCTGTATGTGCGCAATCCGAAGCCTTACGTATCAAATCACGCCGAGCTTGCGACCCTCCCGTGTCCATGGAGTGCATGCGAGCGCCGAGCGCAACCTTCGCCATGGCGCGGGCCGCGAGCCAGGAACGCGTGCCTCAAAACTCCGGTCCAGGATCAACCAGCATCGAATCGGGAAATCCCACCAGCCCTCTGGGCGTAGGTGGTCTAGAACAGATCCTCTTCCACCCCTCCCTCTTCCCCCTTGGGGAGGGGTTTACCCCTCCCCCTACCCCCTCCCCTGGACCTGGACGGAGGGTTCCGCGAGCGGTCGGACGGCTCTTTGGGCCCCAAGATAGGAAGCCAAAATCATCGGTTTTACTAGGGTTTTGGCCGATTTTGGAGGCTCCCGAGGGGGGAGGCTAATTAGGGACCCCCCTTCCTTTGATCGATCACCTCCAAGATGGCCCCAAGAGCGCTCCCAAGGCTCCCAAGAGCGCCCCACGAGGGCCTCAAGAGGCGCCCAGGAGGCCCCAAGAGGCGACCAGGAGGCCCCAAGAGGCCCCCAAGAGTCCCCAAGAGGTTCCCACGAGGCACCCAAGACGGTCCAAGAAGCTCCCGGGACCGCCAAGAGGCCCCCAAGAAGCCCCAAGAGACCTCAAAGACTATCCCAAGAGACATCCCAAGAGACTCCGCGAGGCATTCAAAAGCCCTTTGACTCTTCTGATCACCCTTATCCTCCTCCTCCTCCTCCTCCCCCTCATCATCATCATCATCATCATCATCATCATCATCATCATCATCATCATCATCATCATCATCATCATCATCATCATCATCATCATCATCATCATCATCATCATCATCATCATCATCATCATCATCATCATCATCATCATCATCATCATCATCATCATCATCATCATCATCATCATCATCATCATCATCATCATCATCATCATCATCATCATCATCATCATCATCATCATCATCATCATCATCATCATCATCATCATCATCATCATCATCATCATCATCATCATCATCATCATCATCATCATCATCATCATCATCATCATCATCATCATCATCATCATCATCATTCATCATCAATCATCATCATCATCATCACCATCATCATCATCATCATCATCATCATCTTCATCATCATCATCATCATCATCATCATCATCATCACCATCACCATCACCATCACCATCACCATCACCATCGTCAAGACCACCACCATCATCGTCATCATCAGCATCATCAATATCAACACCAACATCATCATCCACTTATTCCTCCTCATCCTCCTCCTCCTCATTCCTCCCTCCCCACCCTCATCATCCTCCTTCTCTTCCGCCTCCGAGACGTCCTCCATCCTCCCCCCCCCTTGGGGTACGACGGCCTCCCCAGCCCCTTGTTCCTCTGTATGCTGCCACGTTTCCATGATCACCTCTACTCGCCTGGGCGTCGTTTCTGGATGGGCTGGTGGGGATTGTTCTTTTCTTCTTACAGCCGCAGGCGGATGCGCCAGCGGCGGCGGGTAACGGTCGGGCTGCGGCCGCGACAGATTGGCCGAAAGCGCGCGCGAGCGCGGCCGGCGCCAAGCGGCGGGTGCAGGGGTGCTGCAACCCAGGGAGTCTGACAACAACCAGCACCCAGGGAGCAATAAATACGCTGCCAAAACGGCGCGATGCAAGACCCCCACCGTGTCAAGCAAGAACAGTAGGGAGCCTGCCAGACTCGGCGCAGGAATGGCGTACGAAGGGGGCCCAGGGTGTCTGCCATAGGAAGCAGAGCGACCGAGAGACACGCAAGCTGTCGCCAGACTGCATACCATAGGAGAGGTTGGACTCTGACAGCGCCAGCGAACCGTCGCAGCTTCAGAGTACGCACCAACGCGACCAAAAGGCGCGAGATTCGTGGTGTCTGTAACCAAACGAAGCACGTCGGCCCAAGACAACCTCGAACAGATGCGATCGCCAGCGAGCCATCAGGTAACATGATGTGACGCTCTGCGGAAGGTACAACTGTCCCAATCCTCTCCCGGGCACAAGTCGCAGGCGACTGCCAACCGTAGATAAGAGCAGGGACGCGTACCAGGGAGCATCTAAAATGACGAACCCGAGCCGCCTATCCTTGGTACCCTGGCGAACCAGAGTGAAGTGCAAGACGATGGCGCTCTGGGATAACTGTGCTGCCGCTGCCAGCTGCAGCCCAAGCAACAGCCAGCGGTCACGAAGAAGCCCAGGGAGTGCAAGTGCGGTTCTGGACAGCGACGAGGCGAAGCCATCTTTGCGTCGGTCGCAGAGCCGCGGGGCCGGCGGACGACGTCCGGCAGGGCCAGAGGTTTTTTTTTGCCTCTTCATCCTCTGCTTCTCCCTCGCGCTCCTCCCCCTCGTCCTCGTGCTGCCACTGCCGTCGTCGTGCTCACTATCTCCCCCCACCCCGCCACTGCCGCGGCCACTGCGCTCTCTTCCACTGCCCTCGAGGACAGCGGCCACAGCGAACGCCTGCTCTTCTCGCACGCGCTGTTCAGGGTGCCCTAAGTGATGATGGTGGGCTCCAGCTTCGCTTCTGCCATCTCGCTCAGCAGCGCCACTGCCTGCTGCAACTGCCAACGCCTGCTCTTCTCGCACTCGCCCGCCCTCGAGGACAGCTGCCACTGCCATCGCGTGCTCTTCTCGCACGCGCTGCTCAGAGCGCCGTAGGTGATGATGCTGGGATGCAGCTCCGCGTGCGCCATCTCGCTCAGCAGCGCCATTGCCTGCTGCCACTGCGAACGCCTGCTCTTCTCGCACGCGCTGTTCAGGGCGCTGTAGGTGTTGATGGTGGGCTCCAGCTGCACGAGCACCAGCTCTCTCGGCAA